AGAAAGGAGATATAATAAAATTATTAAGGCATGAGACGCCACTTAGCGGGAGAAACGTCCATAATTTTCCGTTTTTTCCTTGCAGTAGCAGATCGCGAAGGATTGAACGCGAGAGATACGCGTTCTGCGCCGTGTAATAATTTACTTGCACCGGAAATATCGCGGAGGGGAGGGGGGAGAGGGAGAGGGGATACCGCCTGGGAACTTTATCGAGAAGCGATCGTCGTTACGCAAGGAAAAAGGAACGAGACTCGAGAAGAAAACGTAATTTCATTTACGATAAGCGAATCGGCGAGATTTCTGCATTTGGAATAATTAACTTGGACGTCGTTGCGTAAGCCGCGCAACGACGGAAGGTGACGGCGAAGCTGCGACGGTAAAGCTGCGAAATACCGTCTTAAGTATGGAGAGACGCACACATACTTAAATTTATTATTATGACGCGTAATGACCGGCAAGCGGCAATTTATTAATTACCATCATTACAGATAAACGCAAGATTGCACAGACTACATTCTTGGATCCGTAAATTGCGACTGTACCGAAGACGACCGTAAAGTGCCATCGCCTTATCTTGCGGCGCGATCTCTCTCGTGCTTGTTTTTATTCCCTGTTTCTCTCTCTCTTTCTCTTTATTTTTGGGTCGCTTTTAACCATCGCGAGCGTTTCATAATCCCGCGCAACACGTCTCGTTCGCCGCGATACCGCGTGCTGCCTACGCTAATGACGCGCGATTCGCGGGCCATAAATACGCGCCCCGGTCGTTAACGTAATCGCCGGTACGGCGTGTCGCGCTTATCGGTCGCACCTGCAAACAACGACAACGACGTCTTTGCGAAATGTCCCCGAGCGCGAATGCGTCTACCTACCGGACCGTAGGAGCTTTAACGACTCCAGAGCACCGCGATAGCGTATTTTCCAACGTCTAAGAATCACATCGAACCGGAGGAGACAACGAGAGAGACAACGAGAGAGCGAGGAAAGTATCGCGCTCGGTATCGGTCACGGAGCGATTGGAAATATCGCGCGTTTACCACCGATACGATGCAACCAATTTCTGCGTCGTGCGGGTCACGGGAGGAAAGTTGACACAATTGGAGAAAGAGAAGGCGAGTGTAGGTGCGTCCTCCATCGCGGCGAGAGAAAATCTCGCGCCCGAGGAGGTACTGCCGGGGGGAAGAGATTGTCGAGCGCGACCCACGACTGACGGCCCAGATACGAAAATCGTAAAGTCGCTACATAATAGCGGCTAGTGTAATATCCAGCATGGTGCACTTCGCGCCGAGATTAAAGGCGCATAAAGCGAGCGTGGCGCATAAACGTTTTACAAGCTCTTCAGCCCGCGTAGCCGCTAAAGGCGCGAGCACCGCCAGCGAGATATTATTTTAAACGTTGCGCCAGCCTGCGCGGTGCGTTATTCGAGTACGTAGGTACGTCATTCGGCATTGTTAAGATTACACTGTGCGAGCGGGAACCGACGTCAGCGATCGTTGCAACGCGAACGAACGAGTGAGCGAGCAAGCGAACGAACGAATGAACAAACGAACGCGTTCGTTCCAGTGGAAAGCGCTCTCCGCCATTACATAAATCTGCACAGCGCGCGAGCGCATATCATAGTTTTTCTTTTCATATAAATCCTCTTCAATTTTGCTGTGTTTCCAGTTGTGCAGCGATAGACTGTCAGTAAGGTCTATCTTGCTACACTGGGAGAGAAAAAAGTGGTTGATCTAACTGGGATAAATTATAATTATTTTTGGAGCCAATCGTATTTTTGAGTTGTTCTAACACGAAAATGGTAGTGGTGCATATAAGATTATTATCATGCATATTATCGCTAACAATAGTAATAGAATTTAATTAAAAAGTTGTTTTCCTGATCGTAATTTATAATAATTATTCCGCTATGTGATCATAATTACAAATATCAAACAGTTTTCTTTCAGTAAGGAAATTTCTCTAGAAACGTAGTAAATTTTTTAATACACACATTTCAGTATTTAAAACCACATATGAGATGAAATTTATACTGCAGAATTTCAATCTATTCTTCGGTTGTGTAAATTATGCATGGAAACTACGTCATTTTATTATAATTCACTTTCAAAGAGATTTTTTCAAAATTATGCATGGAAACTACGTTAAAAGCATACCAGAAAAGAGGACAATGATTAAAATTCACATGACGAGAAATTTAAAAAATTTTAAATCAACTTTTCTCATGTTTTACGTAACTAATTATTTTAATATCTTAATGCATGTGTAAGTATTTTTAATCCTTATAATTGTCACTATTATTGTATCGGAATTATCTAAACGGACAACTTTAGTACCAACGATAATTTTTTATATGAAGGATGATATATAAGTAAGTGCAAGAACATTATTCGTTGAATCGAAGACAATTGAGCACAGCCATTCGGATTATCGGAGAAACGAGTCTCTCAAATTACAGGTTTTTATATCAAGGAAGAAGGAAAAGAACATGAGATACGTAATAAAATCGCGAATGTAACGAGTTACCGATGATAGGATAAAATCATTACTTGCGCCGATTAGCGCGTGGGACGTGGATTATTGACGAAGGAATGTGTTCGCGATAGCGATATCGAGAGCGAACGAACGTTCATTCGTAACCGCTTACGTAAAAGCGTGCACCTACACGCACCTTCCCGTCCTCCTGTAGTCAGCCTCGCGGAAATAATCGCGCTCGCACAGACGACGGCGCGGAATTAGCAGCGTCGCGCGGATGAAAGTCACGAAACCGTACGGGGCGTGAACAGATATTGGCGGAACGCAGATTTTTGCACGACGGCGCGTCTCCGTAATCTAATCATAATTTCATGGACCGTAAAGCTCTGTTTAGTGCGCGCGTCTGTGCAGATTCGGCGCGATAAAACAACGCCGTGATCGGGGCGTGCTGACTCCCGGACGTGAGCGCGAGTGAATTGTATGGGAAAAGCGCGCGGATTATATGGCGCGGTGCATTATGTCATAAAAGTTATGTAAGCCGATATTTCCGATCGGCCGATGACGCGCGATCGCGGCAAAATGTTTCCGATTAGTGTCGCAGCGGCCCCGGAATAAATTTCGCTTTATCGGCGCCGAAATGACCTCTCCGCGGCGGCGTAACAGCGGCCCTAAGTGTAGCGAGGAATTTAATGCGGAATCTACTGCTAATAACGGCGATTTTACAGCGCGCTCGCACTTGAGAGCGTACGGCAATTCGCGTCTCCTTTGCATACACGTTGCTGCCCAACCCTCCTCCCTCCCACGTTAAGAAACCGTTGCGCTTGGTTAGGCGCCGCGACTTCATTTATTTTTTAGCGTCACTCTGATAAGTATAACCCACTATTTTCCAATCACTCTGGCTGCTAATAAACGTGGTAAAAAATGAATCATTTCGTTGCTCGCGCATGGAGAACAGTTATTATCAATTACATTAATATTCTAATATACACAGGAAAATGCATACTGTGCATTCATGTAAATATTATTTGTTTCACACGTGTTACATAAGTTTATATATCTACCGTGAGTTCTTAAATTTGTTCGAGATATATTCTTCTTGAATTATAATAAGTTCAGCACATTATACACACACATTTCAATAAATTAAATTAAATATTAATTTGTACTTGTACATTATGCTATGAGTTGAAGATATAGTTTAAATAAAAAGGAGTAAATTTTAATAAAGTTTTAGTAAATAAAAAAGAACTTAATATTTTTTGCTACGAACTTAAATTAACTTTTTCTTCGATAAAGTGTAATAATATTCTTGCGAAAGGAATAAATTCTTCCGTTGAACACACGATAATGAGCTTTTCTCAAATTGATGATGAACATATTTTAAGATTATATTATCGATCTCATATAGAATTTTCATTCTCCACACGATCTGACAACATTCACGGCATCACAAGACTCGTTGCATCGAGATTACACAAACGTCATGTGACGCGACGTGACGCGACGCGACGCACGAACCGCGGCAGTATCGATGACGCGCGCGCGTCAGAGCGGATTAAATCGCGGGCGGAAAACTGCCGTCGCAATCAGTGCTTCCTTGAGGTCATGGAAAACGCAAATTGCGACCGATTTCGACAGGCAGGCAGGCAGGCAGGCAGGCAAGCAGGCAGGCAGGCACGCCCGCCGATTCGCTTCGTCTCGCGGCCTCGATTCTCGCTGACACGCATATACGCCTACTACCGAGCCGTTTGTACTCGCGTGATTGGCGCGCTGAAATAATCAGCTCGTTGCAACGTCAACGTGCGATCGCGCCGGGGCCCCGGTTGTGCACGCCTCGTTCCGTTTGATGTACGGGCGTAATTTCGGGGTGTCTGGAATTCGCGTATGACACGTGCGACGTGCCGTATGATTCGACGCCCGGCCGCCGTCGCTTATGCCCGCCGGTCTAGAAAAACTTCCTCTCGCTCGGCACGCACGCACGCACGCACGCACGCACGCACGCACGCACGCACGCACGCACGCACGTACGCATACAGAACGAGCTTTCGATCGTCCTCGCCGCTCAGAAGACTCCGATCACGGCCGGGAGGAGATAAATCTGTTTACACGTCCGAGTACGCGAAAGTCTGAGCACACACCCTATAAAATTCCAGATTATCGCAGTTCTTGATACACGACAAACGTGATCACAGTGATATATGTTTAACAACTTTCAACAATTTATTTTTATCCCAGAGCGCGCGTATATTTCAGGTTTATAGGACCTTTACGGTCGCGCGCCGCGTTAGACGCGAAATTCCAACAACACGCGCGATAAGGCCGGAGTTGGAAATCAAGAGCTTTTCGCGAATTAAGCTTTCAAGGTGACGAGGTAATACGAACTCTCGATCGATTTCCTCTAGTGTGTTTCTCGCCTCTTTTCTTTCCTTTTTCTCTTTTTCTCGTGAAATAAATCTCCGCGTCGATGATGGGAGCGGTAATTGCGGCTGTTTTGAATAATAAACGCATGCGTGGAAACTGCAAGTACTCACCAATTATTAACTTGAAGAATCGTCAACCCCGTGTCCTGTGCCAACTGCTTTTTCTGGTCTTCCGAGGGGTACGGATGCTGCGAACAGAAAGAATAAATCGGTTATGTTAACGGTGAAATCGAGCGCGGGAACGATCGCGAAGGTCGACGGCGCGAGAGCCAAAAAGTCAGGCGCCAATTAGCGCGAAATTGCCGACGAGAAGTCGTGTTTATTAAATACTAGCCCCGGCAGCACAGTTACATCCGCGTGTGCAACAATTAGCGAACGTAAAACGTGAAAATTAAAAAAAAAACGATGCCCTCTCCGTCCCAATATCACTGTCCCTGTCTCTCTCTTTCTCTATCACACTCACTCTTTCTCTCCCCGTCTCTCCCCCTGCCGTCGCTTCGTCGTTTCACGTCTCGCCGGCGAGCGAGAGCGCGCGCGGCGGGCTTTCAAACAATTTATCGAGTGATTTATCGCACACCGAGGTAAGTACATAGAGTACACGGTGCGCCGCGCGCGGACTTTTATCTGCGCGACGATCCGCGCATTACAGGCGCCGCGTCGTCTGGCCGCACCTGCGAAATATTATTTATTGCTGGCCAACACAACAACAATAAAAAGAAAAAAAAAAACGAACAGGAACTCAGAAGAAGGAGGAGAAGGAGATGCAGGCGACGGAGCGCGGCTTGGCAAAAAGCTCCTCCTATGCATCGCGCGTTTGGACGACCGCGTTTTATCGCGCTGTCGCATCGGCGGCGCAGATGTGCGCTCGTACTACGACCGCCGGGTGCGACGCGACGCGACGCGACGCGACGCGACGCGACGCGTCGCTCGTATTCCCTTTCGTGAAGCAGAAACTTTACGAGAGCGCGACCAAAGAAAGAGAGAGAGAGAGAGAGAGAGAGAGAGAGAGAAGTTTGAGGGAACCGTGGCCGCGATGTAGTAGTTTCTTTATTTTCCAGCGCCTCTATGCAAAGAGAGACGACTAAAGGTGCAGTTGATGTAAGATATCCTGGTAGTACCTTAGAGTAGAAATTGTGAACGTCGTCGGTGTCTAGTCACGAGATGATTCGTATCTAACTCTGCTACACATTGAGAAAAAATACTTGAAAATTTGTTTGTGGAATATATATATTTATCTCGTAGAGATCAACATTATTTCGCAGATATAGACTTTATATCTCCGACGACTAAATTTGCAAATATTTTCTTCTCAGGCTACTACCACAGTAATGTAACGCTCACTTCTAGTGGTTAGATAAATTAATCGACTGATAGGATTAGACAAATGAAATGACAGTTATGAGATGGAAAATTATAAGTAGTTGCTAATCAAGTAATGAAATTCTACTTTTTTTTAGCAAAAACGCGACTGATATCTTAGTGACACGCGCACGGCACACTCGCGATACGTCGATAAATAATCATCTATCGTTACTCCGCCTTCAGCTGTCAACCAATATTCATGCGTGCTAGGAGACAGTCACATTTCAGTTATTTTCGATGAGATCTTTGTTTACAGAACCCATCGTCCTGCAATGTCGCGCGAATTTTTTCATTGATATCTCGAAATTTTACATGGTTATTCAAAAAGTGGTGAGGGATCTTTTGTTCAAGTTGTGATGTATTCTACCTGCATATCACAGTTCCGTAGCGAGTTGTCGGACACCCTATATAAAACTACCCTATTACCGGACAAATGCATAAATTATCGATAGACGGACAAAAGCGGCACTGCACGGCCTACATGTGTGGAATATCTGCATGGTGAAATATTGAAAGCGGATTGACTCCCGTGTCCGCGCTCCAACTTCGCGGATAGATAAATTATATTCTCTCACGCCGGATATTCCATCGGTGCCTCTCGCGAGCGCATAAATTTGTGGCGCGCTTCGGCCGCTCCTCCGGAGGAGTTACTGCTGCGCATTAATATCGGGCTCCGCAACGAGCAGCCGAATCTTTCCGATATTGTTGCGCGGTCAACCGCGTGCCAAGCCTCTCGAAAGATGTATGACACGCGCGTGACGTTGTGCACCTGCGTGCTACTCGTAACTGGAGCCCGGTAACTTTGTCCGACGCTTCGACATTAACCTTCGTGAGACGATGCGACATTCAAGGGTGTTTAATTCGCGGAACTACAGTGTCACAATGAAAAATTCAACCGCGTCACTTAAACAATCATTGATCGTCGAGACTGCGGGCAGTTGACCCGGGCAGAATGTCTTGGCAAACGTGTCGAGCGAAAAGTGTAATAAGCAAAATGGATCGCACTTCTCGCGAGAGCCATTGGAACGCGCGGAAGAAACTTTTGTCCGCGCTCAGCATTGTGTGATTTTCGCGCGCACCCCGAGGAACGCTAAAAAAATTGCGCACGCGAGGAGGAAGACGCCGGTGAGGCTTAATTACATTACATCCAGCGAGACGTACTAAGCCCGCGGGCACAGCCACATCTCAATTTTAATCTCGCATTAAGCGCAATTATGAAATTAGTATCACGTAATCGTCACAAGTAAATAGTCCGCCGACAGTTGCATTCCCAATGGAAATATTCCCTCCGACGATCTACCCTTGACACGCGATGGTAACGTCGACTAATATTCTCAATGCAGACGAGAGCCGCGCTCTTCGAGTCGCGTCAAGAATTGTCTTGGCAGATATTTTTTTCAATTGAGTGAAAGAAGTGGCAACCAGACGCGGTTGCTGGTGAAAATAGTTGAACTTTTACGAGAGGATAATACAATGTCTGACAGTGTCAACGCACGTGTTGGTGATTCAGTCTTTCACGTCAGACCGATCCTTTGTCCCAAATTATTCTAATATTAAATTAATCCCTTATAATACTCCATACCCAAAAAACTATTTCAATTACACGTTCGATTTATGATTCTTTTACTATGTTAATATTAATTCAAGTGTTGCGAGAAATATACTGCCTCAATCAGAAGTGAACCTCCCTATTTGCCAAAAATGATTCCATAAAAGCTGAAGTGTTCGCATGAATAACCGCGTCTGCTTCTCATTTGTCGCTTCTTCAGCGCTTGGTGGTATGCCTGAGAGCCTTATTTATATTTATATATTTTGCAATTTTTCATCATTCAAAAAACCAAATCCAAAGACTCGAGACACGCTTGCATCGTCTCACTCTGCTCGCTGACATCCCTTGCATTTACCCCCTGTGGAGCGTTATAGCGTGCAATCGAGCAACATTCGCCGCATCGGACGAAGAAGCGCACTCGTTACAACCTCCCCCCGCGCAAGTTCACTATAAAATTGACATTACTCACGCCCGATCCGTGCTATCGACCGACGCACGGAAAGATCCGGCTGCGCGTAAGAGCTCGCGGTCGCGCCGCGCGAGCGGCCGAACCGCATCATATTTTTACATAATTAGCACGTGGCGCCATTACGTGCCTCTCCCTCCTCCCTGCGCCGCTCGCCCCGGCTAGCCGTTACTTTTTGCCGAAGCGTTGCGGTATTTTTGGAAACTGCCGCTACAGCCCGCGAATTCCCATCCCCCTTTTCGTCGTCGTACTCCTCCTCCTCCTCCTCGTCCGCTGTATCATGTTTCTTGGAGGCGAGCCACGGTATACATACATCAGGAGCGTGGCTTCGTCCCCCGCTCGCCACCCAACCCCTCCTACCTCCCCACACCCCCGGTACACCCCATTGTGCGGCGACGGTGTATATCCGATCCGAGCGATTCTTATCCTAATTAAATCGGCCGAGCGCATTGTCTGGGCGTAGAGTTTCCATCGGATCTCTCCGCGGATATCTAACGCCGCGTATAAAGCCGCGTCGAGAGAGGAGGATTGAGACGATCTCTCGGGCGAGGCGCGCGGGGCTCTCGCGGGAGAGAGGGGGGGGGGGAGAGAGGAAGAGCATGCGATCCGACGCGGATCGATGCGCGCTAAATTGCAGATTCGACGACGCGATCGACGCGCGGCGGTGCCGCGAGTGAATATCGGCGACAGGATTGCCGAGGTATGCGGGCTCTAGTCGATTATCGTGATTCGGAATCGACCGCGTCTACCGGTTAATTTCCCCTTACATGTAGCGGGACGCGCGCTGAAGAGTTGATGTATAATACTGCCATGAGGATCTGTATCGATATGCGTGTACAAGCACACGTCTTGCTTTTGAAGTGTGAAAAAAAAAATAATGTGTCAAAGTAAGAATTAAATATAGAATAAGGAAAGTTGGATAGATTCTGATAAAATGTAATTAATTACAACAAAAATGTAGAACGGAGTAGATGTTCAATTACTGCTCTCTCTCTCTCTGCCTCTCTCTTTCTTTCTCTCTCTCTCTCTCTCTCTCTCTCTCTCTCTCTCTCTCTCTCTCT